AATGTTTTATGTTTACACATGCAAACATTATTATATGATATGATGTTAGCATGAGAAACGTGACGGAACTAAAAATGGTAATTATTATTATTTTAATGTTTGGTCCTAATTTACTAAAGCTAACGGCTAGCGATGTTAAGATTCACAAATCACGTTTTCTTGGAATCTACCATATCAATCAATATGTTGGGTTTCTAGTAGTCTTGCTAAACTAAAATATCACTGTTGAATTAATTTGAATTTTGAATATGATACAAAATATTGTATTTCAATATATTTTAAAACTAATGGATTGGAGTTCAGGGTTATTTTCTAACTCATTGAAAAATATTCTTGAGAAAATCTTGTACTCTGTTTATTAAGCATACTAGGATAAGATCTGCGCCTTGCGCGGGATGAATCTGTTATTCTTATTATGTTTTGAAAAATGAAACAATACTTCGGTTTCATTCGGATTAGAGGTGTTCAATCCGGATATCGGGTTTCAGTTCGACTCGATTTTTTGGTATTTCGATCATTAAAATATAACTACTATTCTAAATCTATATGTACTTCAGTTTGATTTGTTTTATATACCATCAGTTTTCAGTTTATTCAATTTTATACCAAAAAAACATAATTATTTAGTTTGAGATCATATTATATATTATACAAATATATAATATGATCATATTTAGAGTCATATTGTCATAGAGTCATTTATTAAAAAATATTATATATTTAAATAAAAGAATAAAAAAACAAAAAAGCCTTTTATCATCTAATAAAATGATCAAATCAAGAATTAATATCAAAACACTAAATTTTGAAAAAAAAAAAACAAAAACAAAACAGAAGCATGAAAGAAAAGTTTTTATATTCTTCCATATTTAGTGTTCATCAAACCAATATGTCTTCGATTGAACACAACTCTGTTGGTTTAAAGATAAAAAAAAAACTTGTAAAGAATTTTAACTAATTGTTGTCCATCAAATTTATAATCTTTACTTCAATTTAGTTACTGTGAAAAAAGCAAAAGATAAAAATAGGAAGTCTCAGTTGTAATAAATTGTTAGCTATTTACAAATTATAATTATAGTTCAACTCATGTAACAAATAGATTCATGTGTCGTTATAAATATATACATATTTACATGTTTCAGTTTAATCGGTTATAAATCAGACCATATCCAAATCCTATGGTTTTTATAGAATCACATACATTCGGTTTGTATGGTATATACCAAAAATAAGCATATTATCGATTGTTAATATCTTTTAAAATATAAAATTAAAAAAAAAACTAAGATATTTAAATCATTGATAACATAAAATTTCAATGTGAAAAATTTAATAAGTTTATAATTTATAAATGTTCTTGAAAATTTTGAAATTAAAATATTTATGTAATCTTATATGGTATATAGTTTAATCTGTATATATATTTGTTTTATTATTGAATGATACTTTTTACTTATATGGTTTTAAATTCATGTATATCTTTTTATAATAAAAATGTTAAACTATTGATCATTAATTTTTAACATAATAACTAGATTTTGATCCGCACAATCGTGCGGGTGTTAAATTTCATTTATATATTTATAGTTATATGTTTTACATATATATATATATATATATATATATATATATATATATATATATTTAACGTTAATTATATGTTTAAATGTTTATTCAACCATCACATATATTTGTCATTTTTACTGTATATTTTTCTTATTAAATTTGAATTTGAGTATTAAGCAGATTAATATATACATGAAACAACATATTTAAAAAATACAGTTGTATTAAATGTATTCTAAAATCTTACGTGCATTTTAAAGCTTTAGATTATCTTTTAACAACGTTAATGTTTATTCGTTATAAATAAAATATACTGTTGTGTATATAAAATTTTAAGATATATCAATTTGTATAAATGTATTATATAGTTTAGTTCGTTAACCCGTTTTTCCAACATATTATATTATTTTATAATAAATATTTATATTAACATAAAATATTTTAATATATCAACTTAAGATATTTTTATACTATTTAGTTTGGTATAATAGTTATTTTTATATGATTAATTATGATTATAAAATAAAGAAACTATAAATAGAATTTTTATTTTTCATTTTTATAAACAATAACTAACTATATCTTAATGTATAATAATATTTCTTATTAATTATGAAATTATTGAAATATTTATATAAAAGTTTTTAAATTAAGATCTTGTTAAAATCTTTTTTTACAAAATCTTTTAGAATCTTTTAAAATTATATATTTATATTTAAAATGAAAAATATCAAAAGATATTATGATTTAAATAGTTACAAAATTATATCATTAATGTTAAGAAAATACATTTATACATGTTTCTAAGGAGGCCCATCTAAAAAATATCACACATGAAATGAAATTGTGACTTCTATTTTAATAGAATAGATTTTAATAGTTTAGTTATTTATTCTCGTTTTTTAAAATTCAAAATATAACCTATACGAAAAAATCTAAAGTTTAATTTTATAACTAATTTGATTGTTTAATTTATTTTAATGATATAAAATTAAAGAAAATGATGAAAGATATATAAACTGTTATCAAATATTTATTATTAGAATCATTAAGTGTCATATATATATATTAATCATTTATGGTAATTCCGTAGGTTTTATTTATGGAAAGAAAATAAAATAGTAATTATATCTAGGGGAACAATTATAAATGTTTCTATCATAAATATCATAACATATCATCATATCATATAATTTGACCAACGAATGTATCTAGCGACATACAAAAATTGAATGTGGACCTATTGATTTTTCAATTGAATGTAATTGACTACCTAATTGAGTGACACCTAAACATAGGGTCTTTTTTAATTATTACAAAATTGAGGTTACAATTTTTAAAATGTTTCTCCTTTAATATATAAGAGATGTATATAGTAAAAAGGGTTTATTTGCCAAATAACCAAGGAAAAAAAGAAAAACTAGTTTACAAAAAAGAAATATATATATAGTAAAAACTAAAACCAGGATTTTCCGAGAAGAAAAAAGGCCTACGTCAGAAAAATCCCACGTTTTAAGTGAGACATAAAAAACACATCACTCTAAACAGTACAGTCTGTAAAGTGGCTTTCCTCTTTTATATATTTTCCAAATTCTCCTTCATTTCCCACTTCATATCTCTCTCTTCTTTTTGACCAACAAAAAAAATCTCTCTGTTTTTTTGATAAGTATATCTCTCTTTTGTTTCTCCTTTCTGTAACTAGACATAGAGTTAATTATGACGAAAGTCTCTGTTGGATTACAACTTGTGACAGTAGATTCTAAACAAAAACTACATAACATAGTGATCAAATCTTCTCTGAGGCCAAACAGGTCCAATCAAAACATCACGGAGCTTTGCTTCCTCAAAACATGTCATCTTTGTTTGAAAAAGCTCCGTCAAGACAAAGATGTTTACATGTACAGGTACGGCTTTCTCTAACCTTATAACCATAGTGAATGATCAGATTCTTCAAACTCATTTATAACCTAATGATTTTAGTTTTGTTTTGTTAAAATAGAGGAGACTTGGGATTTTGTAGCAGAGAGTGTAGAGAAAGTCAGATTTTGATGGATGAGAAGAAAGACTTAGAAGCTTCCACGAAGATGATGCTTGCTTCTTACCGCCGTTGTAACGCCGGCGCCGGAAAAAGCGAGAATCAGAATTTGTTGGATATTCTCCGGCGGCATCGCCGACTATTTATAGTCCCGTAAAGCAATCATCCACTTCACTAATTAGTAATCTAATACAATAAAGTTGACTATTCTCCCTTCTTAGGGTGTCCACCTCAGATTTTTAGAGGGGGGCAAAAAATGCCACCTCAGCAGCAATCAATCCGTAAATTGAATCACTTCCCTCAGGTTTTCAATTCGATAATGCTGGTTTTCTTAATTAAACCAAAATCTTGGGCTGTGCTGGTTTTCTAATAATATTTGATANATCTAATACAATAAAGTTGACTATTCTCCCTTCTTAGGGTGTCCACCTCAGATTTTTAGAGGGGGGCAAAAAATGCCACCTCAGCAGCAATCAATCCGTAAATTGAATCACTTCCCTCAGGTTTTCAATTCGATAATGCTGGTTTTCTTAATTAAACCAAAATCTTGGGCTGTGCTGGTTTTCTAATAATATTTGATAAGATTATTAAAAGGCCCAAAATAAATTTTAGGTCTTCCATTCTTCTTCTTTCTCTCATTCTTGGAGCTGCCCCCTGCGCTCAACAAACGCAAAACCACGATCTCATCATCATGGAAGAAGGGGCAAATCGTAACACGTGGAAACTTACTTCTGAAGATACTTTTCGTGTTGTTTTATTAGACTTATGAGCTACGTATGAATTGGCCCATCAAGGATCCAACCTTTTTCTCTTTGCAGCGTCATGTGAACGTATTCAGCCATCAAAAACCTAACGCCACCATTTCATTTCAATCTTCACCATCATTTTTCCGACTTCCGTCGTTGATATGCTGCTGCTTGATACGGAGATATTTTTTTATCATTTTTAATTACAAGTTCATTCTGTTATCGACGATGTTAGGAATATGTCATCCGAAAAGCTTTTTAATTACAATCTCATGATGTTAAGAGAGCTCAATGACTGCGTGTTGAAATCTCAAACTCAGGTAAATTAAGAACACTTACAAGTTTGAGATTCCTAAATTCAACACGACAAATAAGTGGCTTAGCAATATCTCAATGACTACACTCGATGGAGTCATTTGCACTGGTGTTGTGAGTGGAATAGAAACAAAAATTGGATGGTGATATGCTCCAAGTGCTACCGAAAATTTGAAGGGTGGGTTTTCATCATTTTTATGTTCTCCCTGCAATGAGGAGTTATCAGGTAATCTACCCTCAACAAAATTTTGTAACAATTAATTAACAGATCAACAACTATCCTATGCTACGAGAGTAATACATTACACTGGATAATATATGCTAGGTACCGTGTTCAAATGACTATTTCTGATGCAACCAATACTGCTGAATTTGTTGTCTTTGACACTGTAACAACTAAACTGATTAATATCTGTGCAGCAAACACCTCCAACCAGCAGGTTCGTCTTTTGTTAACACCTTGCATTCATACTTTTCTAATTATTGGATTTGGCTGTTTATAAGATCACATGATGTTGCTTATGCAGGTTTCTGTTGCACAATGCTTGCGTGAGATTGGTGGGAGCACCTTAACCTTCCAATTGAGCCTGTCCCACTTCAATTTAAGTGCCATACATCAGTGTTTCGCTGTTTCCTGCATTTTTTTTGACAACAACCAACGCCCACCTCATCTGAATTTTGAGTTCCATGTAAGTCACCAAAAAACGTTCAAGTCTATGCAACTTTTACATGGTATTTGATTACTGATTAGAGAGTCACATTTTCAGGTCGGGAATGACAACCCAGGGATGTATGCCAGCTGCTGGAGCTGTCAAAAGAAGCCAGTCATTTTCTCCAGAGCAGTCCCGTGAATCAGAGTGAAAGTGATGGTAATGCTGATGTTGGAGGTGGAAGAGGTGAGCCATTAGATCCAAGTCAAACATCTGTTGATGGGAGAAACACAAGCGAGGACGGGCCAGTAAGGAGGAAGCTAGCTATGGCAAGAAGTCACAGACTTGCAAAGAACAAGTGGAGCTTCAGACAGAATACATGCTAACCTGTTCGATGCTATTGTTTTAAATTAAAACTGCCAAACACTATGGTTTTTATTTTTTCTTGGTTGAGTTTTTTCTTATTTAGATTTTCATTGGTTTCATTTTTAAATATGTCATCGTCGTGGACATTTTAGCAGTCAAACCCAAAATAAAATCCTACTTTACAGACATCCCTTTTACGAACAAATTTTAATCAACTATTTGAAAATTAGATTAAATTGTATCGATGCGCTCATAAAATACATGTATTCAGGTGGTCATGTTTTATTTTAAAAAAATTCTGAACTGCCGAAACTGCCGGGAAAGATAACGAACTCGGTGTTACTGACATCGTCTACTCTGAGGTTTTCAACGTTTAAAAATAATAAGTTCGCACAATATCACAAACCCTTAAACACTACAAAGCTAATTAACTTCCCTTTTCAAGAGGTTGTCACACAAGAAGCTCCAAATTCAAAAGTCCATAAAGCAGCTAGGAATTTCCAACAAGTCTTCCCAGCAACCATGAGAACCTTTTTGATCAAAACAGCCATGAGAACTATATTTTCTGATTTTAGTATTTTAATTTCTCAACGTCAACCTTTTACAATTGCATGTCCAGATTCATGTTTCCAACTCAAAGAGAAACAATTCAAGAGAGGTTTGACAACATGTCAACAACACATGCTCACCCAAATAAAATACAAACCAAAGACAATAATCAACTCACACAACTCGATTCAGATACCACTCTGTTGATCCTAGCTAATACATACCGTCAGCACACCAACTACAATCCTCTCAGCCCATTCAAAAAGTATGGGCCCATATCCTACTTAAAAAGAGCTAACCTACCAAAATATATACAACAAAACACTAACAGAACTCACACATGCTTTACAAAAAGTCTAAAACTAATACTCAAATGATCCCACCACTCGATCAAACACATAAGAATAAAAACGAATATAACACAACACAAACACATGTGTTCGTATCCATGTACGCATTACAAATTATACCTAACCCATTTACACTTTAAAGCAATAAAAAACATATCCACCCCCAAACACACAAAACCACAGCAACAACAAAAACCATGAAGAATATTACTCAACAAATAACGTTTCCGCGCGAAGCGCGGACAAACCACTAGTNAAAACGAATATAACACAACACAAACACATGTGTTCGTATCCATGTACGCATTACAAATTATACCTAACCCATTTACACTTTAAAGCAATAAAAAACATATCCACCCCCAAACACACAAAACCACAGCAACAACAAAAACCATGAAGAATATTACTCAACAAATAACGTTTCCGCGCGAAGCGCGGACAAACCACTAGTTATATATATTTTTGTTTAGACAACTTACTAGTACATCTATAGGTCCAAAGAAGTGTTGTCCAAAAAGAAAAGAAAAAAGGTCCAAAAAAGTTAGGGAAATTTGCCATATAACCGCAAAAAAATCTTAAGTTCAGTGACTACCTAAAGGCCAAAACTATCTCTCTACTATTTCTCTACAAATTTTGTTTTTCTTGGTTTTATGACAAATAAGCCCGATGCATGTTAATTGAATTGTATGAAAAAGTTGTATCTCCATTGTCAAATGTTTATTGGATGGTGATCTTAGGTGGGATAACTATTTATTAAATTATCAAATAAAGTAATAATGTTATGTTGTTTGCAGTTGAACTTTGATTAGTGAGATAATCAATTTTCTAAAGTCATATTCACAAATCACAACCAATTATAACTTTAGCAATATCATATTTAAATATTTAGATTGGATCTCGGCATGACGGATATGAAGTGGATAAAAAAAAAATATTTTTTTGTGTGGAAGTTCTCTATGATTTGATTTGTTTTCATACATGGAGATATTTGTTTATGTATGGACGTAGACATACTTTGGTCTGAAGATATGTGATTTAGTCACGTGTTGAATATCTACTGGCTTTTGCGACCTGCTTACAATATTGCGCTAAACATGAATTATTTAGAAGAAGCACTAGCATCTCCTCCAGCCTTCTATTAGAACGTACACCATCATGTGACTATTGTCTCGTTGTATGTGTAGTGCGTTTATGTTTCCTTGATTCGGGATAGCTTCTTTATTATTGTCTATCCATCTTATCTTATGACATACCTATTGGTATGGTTTTATGCTTTGATCTTTCTGTAATATTCTGGAACTTTTTGTCCATGTGATTCAATAAGAAAGATAGCGTTAAAAAAAATGAATTATTTAGCGTACTTATATATTTATTTTCTCCTTAATTTTAATATCTAACGTCAACTGCTTTAGAGGAGTCGCGCGGGGGAAAGCAGATTATAGTCTCGGCAAACTTAAAAGGTTTAAAAGCCACCCATAATTTAAATGCCTAATACCTTAAACTAAATACAAGTGTATCAATCTATTAAAAGCCCATTAGCTTACCGATAGAAAACCCGATTAGCCGACAGCTGAGCTATCCGGCTTATGTCCAAAGTTTGATTAATGGGAAGCTGTCATGTTTTGCAAGTGGTGGTAACTGGTGAAGTTTGCAACTCTATTAGGTTATATACCATAATCTTTTACCACAGAATTATCACACATCATGAATTAGAAAAGAAATAGAGCCATTTCATATTTTCATTCATTGTGATTGGTTAAAGTTTAAAACCAAATAAATTTGACAACATGAAAACAACAACATAAAGCTCGTTGATGACACTATGATAGATAGGTGAAAGGTCGGTCATGAGCATAGGCTAATCAAGCCTTGGTCTATGGTCCTCAATTTTTTTTTTTTTTAAATAATTACATAGAAATAAACCTAAATTATAAGAAAAAAATTGTTGAAACTCTTACTAAAAATTTCAAGGCCGACCTGCACCATATTCGGAGATAAGACAAGAAACAAAAATGTGAACTAGCAAGAAGAAACACGAACATTAAGCACCAACATCGCCACTAGTTAACATATGTTGTCTTACAAGTTACAAAAACATTAACAAGAAGAAACAGGAACAACATTAAGCACCAACATCGCCACCAGTCTTAGAGACGTAGAATCAAGTGAATGGTCGACTCGTTCTTGATGTTGTAGTCAGCCAATGTCCAACCATCCTCAAGCTGTTTGCGAGCAAAGATCAGTCTCTGCTGGTCCGGCGGAATGCCCTCTTTATCCTGGATCTTAGCCTTGACGTTATCGATGGTGTCGGAGCCTTCACACTCCAAGGAGATTACCTTTCCTGTAATTGTCCTTACAAAAATCTTACCACTAAGAACGTCCGATCGAGAATTTCGACGGGTTTGGTCATCACTGATCTTAAGGTCGATGATTTTGGAGCAATCCGCCTCTACGTTGATAATGGTCTTTCCATTCACAGTCTCTTTAGAAATCTGCATGACATCACCATTACGATGGCCCTGTCCAATGTTTTGACGGGTTGGCTCTTCGTCGACTTTGAGGTTGATGGTTTTGGAGCTATCGGCTTGTAAGCTGATTGTTGTCTTTCCATCCACTATCTTAATAGAACTCTGCATTTTAGTAGATGTACTAATAAAAAAAAGTTAAAGACGAGATAATTTGCAAAATGCTAAGCATAATCGAACTATGAGACGAAAAGAAATACAACACTTAGGGTTTCTTTTGTAGACGTTTAGAGAAATTAATTTGTGTACCAATTTCCCATAATGATATCATTTATTTTTCTGACTGTCTTTGGAAAACGTAGTCTTGAGTCGACCGTTGTGAAGAAAATGGTGCCTCTTCGGTTCCTTATCCGAGATTTTACTATTTTGTCAACAATTCAAAAAATAAAACAGACTGTGTATCATTATTAATTTACCAGTTCATTAGGCCACAGATATACTTTTATTGAAGTCACATTAACTACTTTTAGGTTGTCGAGAAAAGTTTTTAATTTTCTTTTTTTTTTGAAAAAGGGCATAAAAGTGTTTAACTTTACTCTCTTAACCTTTATCCTCACAGTTTTATTGACATTGCTAAAGAGATGGTGATGGACGTGATTCTTCTAATAAACTGGAAGAGTAAATTAATTAGGTGTTTTGTTTCTTCTTGTTGGATTCAAAGAGTTAGTAAATGAAAATAGTGACATGTGGATATATTAGAATTAAAGTTCAAAAAAAAAAAGAAGATATATTAGAATATGCAAAGAAAAATGAATTGATCGAAGCATATCAACGTAATACCCCCTTTTCTATGACATGTATAGCTCTGAGGAACATTCTGTTATATTGTGCTGGAGTGACTTCTATTGGAGAGATTTATTTTATATTCCAAAAACACATTTATCTTACAATTATATTGACAGATTTGTAAATATAGAATATATCCTTAGTTTGTTTCTAGATGCATTAACATTTCCCTTTTTTTTTAATACTAGTTATTAACATCAGAAAGGATAAAAAAATTTAAAGATAAACTTAAAAAATTTATTAGGGGTTACTAAATCTTTTGCTAGTTACGACTTAACACTTTTACAAATACAGATTAGTTTCTGACTAGTCCTAAAGATAAACTTTTTGATTTTTTATCAGTAATTTAACCACTGTGGTCTAGGTAAAAAGTTACACTGGAATTTATTTGAATTTTTAGTCTATTAGAATATTTCCAATATAAAACTTAATTTTTTTTTTTCAAAATTAAGCAACAACATAATGGAATTGGTTTTACGACACTGGTGAATGTAGGTCTTACCAGAAGACCATAACAACATTAACAAAAACAAGACGAGAAACACGAATAACATCAACCAGCAGAAAAAAAGACGAGAAAAGCAAATGAAATTTAAACAAACACGAGACACGAAACACAAGAAGTCTTGATTTTTGTGGGTTAACTACACTAGTTAACATAAGTCCTACAAAAAAAGAAAAGAGAAACACGAACTGAACACTATTAAGCACCAACATCACCAACCAGTCCTAACGACGCTGAATCAAGTGAATGGTCGAGTCCTTCCTGATGTTATAGTCAGCCAATGTCCACCCATCCTCAAGCTG